TGACAATTCTCACCTTTTTTTTTTCTTTTCTTACTTCTAGTGGTGGTTCGCGATTATTTTATTCCCAAAGGCTCTGTGTTGGTTAGCAATATGTTCGGTATGCATATGAATTCCGATATCTATTCTGATCCAGAAATATTCAAGCCTGAACGCTTTTTGAACAACATTCGAACAATGTCATCTGCGGCAAATGGCAATATCAATCACGTGATCATTTCAACTTCGGATGGGGAAGGTAAGCAAGAAAGAAAAAAAAGTGTAAGAGGGATGATGCATGGAAATAGGAAGAACATTTTGTACTTACCACTAATGGTTTCTTTCTCAATGTATATTTGGATTGATTGACTTTAGACGCACTTGTCCTGGTATTTATTTGGTAAGAATAAAAAGAATGACAACAAAACGTCATTGGTGGACATAACGTCCTACCGCATGAAAACCAATCACTAATACCTGATACCTGATACTATTCTATAGGCAGAAGCAGAGATGTTCCATATCTTTATTCGGATCTTCGCAAACGCAAGTATTGCACCTCCTTTGGATGATGATGGAAAGGAAGTACCTATTGACATGGAAGTAGGGTTAGATACTGGAGTTGTCAATTTACCCTCACCCTTATCAAGTTAGATTTATCCCTCGTACTGAATTCCCTTTAGAATAGATCTTATTATTCGGTTTATATGAAATAAAGGACTCCTTCTTTTTGTCTTTATATCTCACACTTTATATTGTTGATAAGACGTGTACATCTACATGTGTGTTTGCTGATTGAACTGAAGGAAGCGTGTATTGATAATATCTATGATAATGATGTCGTTTGTCTGCATAAAGGCACTGAATTGAGAGCTAGTACGCCGTCGCATCCGGTACAAGAACACAAATGAACGAAGATGATGGATAGTCAAGATATGAAGTTCATACCTTGCGTGACAACAAATCCTGATGAAACAGGTCAGTTCTTTCCCATTGTAGAATTTTTAAAAAAATCTTGCCTAATTATGCATAACTCCATAACTTGATATCATTCCCAGGCATTCAATTCGACAGATAAAACTTGAATCGCAATTTGATTGACACGAAAAAAAAAAAAAGATGATCTCCAGCTGATATGATCATCAAATGACCAATTGCTTTATTAACCACACATCATCCTCCCAAAGCAGTACTATTATACTGTCAGCAAGATGGTATGCATGTATGATAGTGAAGAACCGAAGCGATACGGATAAAAGGAAAAATAAACGGCAACCTGATGGTACGCACAGCAATATGTGTTCAGAAGGAAACATTATTTAGTTCTCTTATTTTCTCTCTTTTTTTTTCCATCTCATTTTCCTTCCATCGATCCATCCAAATTGATTGATACAACATGATTGATTTTGCAACGGTAATAGCCACATCCGCAAATGCAATTCCTAGGGAAAAACGACAAATCATCCTGGCCATTACTACTATCTTGGCAACACGTATTGTGTCGCATTATTTATCCTCAAAAAAAGAGATGATTAACAAGCAACGCTTCAAAGTGATCCCTAGTCCTAGACCACGATGGCCCCTCGTAGGTCAGTATGGGGAAAAAAGGCTGCCTTGAGTACCAGCGGATACTGAAATCAACAGGTTTACCACATTAAAACATTTTTTTTTTTTTTTTTTTTTTTTTGCTAGGGCAATCTTCTTTCTCTTGGTCAACGTCCTGGATATACAGTGGCAAAATGGAACAAAGAACTCGGCAAGTGATTTTACTAATGGACTCTAATGATAGACATATGTACTAATACTCCTGTATTACTGTTTCTCTCCTCCTCTCTCTCTCTCCTTTTAGGGCCTATCATACAACTGAAAATGGGTGTGCAAACTTGGAATCTTCATATCCGATCCTGTACTTGCTCAAGAAATCTTTATGACTCATGGTGTTGCAACGTCGGACAGACTTTCTCATAGGTTCTTTAACTACTACAGTCACGGTGGAAGGTAAAAATGTTTACTATTGTAACATTTTTTTGGCGGAGACACTAAGCTCTTCAGCGATTCTAACCTGTACTTTTTCTTCTCATCTACCCGTTAGAGGGATTATTTGTTCAAACGCTGGCAAAGGATGGCAACGGGCAAGAACTGCTGCTTTATCTATCCTGGCAACCGCAACGTGTCAATGAATTTACCGATGTTCTTCTGTATGAAGCCGATATCCTAGTGGAACAACTTCTTTCTCGTAGTCAACTTTATGGTCAAGTGGATCCCAGCACCTATTTACAAAATGCTGCTATGAATGTAATCTTAACAACTTGTTTTGCTACTCGTATCAACTCCCCGGAAAGTCAGCTATTTAAGGTATGATGTTAAACTGAACTTATTATCAATTACGCTCGTTTTACTCACCCTTAGTCTTTCGTTTCTCTTTTTTCTTTTTTTATCAAGGATATCATGGAGCATATGCATGGAGGCTTGAAGATGGTTGGAATCGAAAATGACCTCGGTCAGTTTCTGCCTATTATGTCTGCATTGGATGTGATCCTGGGGAAGGAAAAAGTGTATAGTGACTATGTTGGCAAGTGCCGTGATCCCCTACTCGTTAGGTTGATTGAAGAAGCTCTATCAAGTGGCAAAGATTCAATGATGAAGACATTGGTAGCTCTCAAAGAAGAATATGGCTTGAATGACAAGGATATCATAGTGATTATGTGTAAGCTGACCTTGACATTCAATGTACAATTTGCTTAGATGATCAGAAGGTCTCATTTCTTTTTTTTTTTTTTTTTTTTTTTAGCTGATCTTCTTGGTGGTGGCACAGATACTAGTTTTGTCACAATGTCTTGGATGATCGTCATTCTTTCCCATTACGATGATGTTCAAAAGAAGATACAGGCAGAACTTGACACTTTTATTCGAGCACATGGGCGTCTTCCTGTCTTCGAAGAACGAGATCAAATCCCTTATACCATTGCTGTCCAAAAGGAGTGCATTCGTTACAAGTCGGTCAATTCCTTTGCTATGCCTCATATGGCCAGTCGTGACTGTATGGTTTGTAGCTTTACTTGTCTTTGATAGTACATGATAAATCTCACCTTTTTTTTTTCTCATTTTATAGTGATGGTTCGCGATTATTTCATTGCCAAAGGTACTGTATTGGTTGCCAACACGATTGGTATGCACATGAATCCTGACGTATATCCTGATCCAGAAACATTCAAACCTGAACGCTTTTTGAACAAACACTCGAACAATGACATCTTCGGCAAATGGCGATGTCAATCAACGTGATCATTTCATATTTGGTTGGGGAAGGTAAAATGAATACATATAAAGAAATGGTTCATGATGGTCGGAAATACCGTCATACTCATCAGTGACTATCCTTTCTTTCTTTGTGTGATTATATTGACTGAAAATAGACGTGTTTGCCCTGGTATTTATTTGGTAGGAAGAACAAAAGAGCTGATGAATGGAGGAAGTTAAGATACAAAAAGAAATAGAGCACTAACGTCTAATGTTGTTTTATAGGCTGAGGTAGAGATGTTCCATATCTTTGTTCGGATCTTCGCAAACGCAAGTATTGCACCTCCTTTGGATGTCGACGGCAAGGAAGTACCTATTGATATGGGATACAGTTTTGGATACCGGTCTTTTGATTATGCCCCAACCTTATCAGGTTCGATTTATCCCTCGTGTTGATTCCCCGTTGAGATAGTTAGTCGTATTATTCAATTCAAATGAAATAAAAGTCTTTTCCTATTTGTTTTTATGTTATATTTTATTGTTGATACATGTATGTAGATATATCTATGTATGGTTGGCTAGGTTAGCTGATGGAGATAATTAATTCTATCCAATTCTTTTTTTTTTTTGACTTACCTAAGGATTGCTTGACTACTTCCATGAGTTCACCTGCAAACATGCGATTCTAAGGAGGCGACTGACCGTCAAATTTGGTGTGAACCAGAAAGAAAACAGGATGATCTCTAAACTAACATGATTAGAAAATGACCAATTATTTTACTAACCGGCCATCATAGTCACGAATCAAGAACACTACATTATCTAGTAGATAAGGGACCTCCATGATGAAAAAAAAAAAAAAGATAAATCAACAAGATCATAAAAAAGAACAGTCGGCAAATTCATGGTTGAAGGAACACATGACAGCATACTCAGAAGAAATAAACGGGAATGATGGTTTAGGCTTTATTTCTCTCTTATTTTGTTTATCTCGCTTTTTTACATCGGTTCATCCAATTTGATTGATAAAACATGATTGATTTTACAATGGTAGTAACTACGCATGCAAAAGCGACTCTGGGCGAAAAACGACGAATCATCCTGGCTATTACTACTATCTTGGCAACGCGTATTGTGTTGCATTATTTATCCCCAAAAAAGAGATGATTTGCAAGCAACGTTTCAAAGAGATCCCTAGTCCAAGACCACAATGGCCCATCGTAGGTTAGTTACAAAGGAAAAGGGATGATGCATGACCAGGTGCGGATATTGAATTTATTTCATCCACATAAAAGCTCACTTAAAAAATTTTAGGGCATCTTCTTTCTCTTGGCCAACTTCCAAAGTATATGGTGTCAAAATGGAACAAAGAACTTGGCAAGTGGTTTTTTACTAATGGACTTGAATGACAAGCATCGTATTAATGATTTTATTTTATTTTTTTTCTTTCTCTCCTTCTTTCTCTCTTTAGGGCCTATCGTACAATTGAAAATGGGTGTACAAACTTGGTTCGTGATATCTGATCCAATTCTTGCTCAAGAAATTTTCATGACTCATGGTACTGCAACAATCTGACCGACCTACTTACACGTATTTTACCTACTACAGTCATGATGGAAGGTAATGTTTTTCTTTTTTTTATTATTTACTTGACCGAGATATTGTATTGAATATTTCTTGCTAACAATGATTCTTTTTTTTTTCTTCTTCTTCTTCTGTCATTTACCTAATAAGGGGCGTTATTTGCTCAAATGCTGACAAACGGTGGAAACGAACAAGAGCTGCTTTATTATCTATTTTGGCACCACAACGCGTCAATCAATTTACTGATGTTCTTTGTATGAAGCCGATGCTCTAGTGGAACAACTGATATCTCGTACGGAACTATTTGGTCAAATGGATCCTAGTCCTTGTTTACAAAATGCTGGTATGAATGTGATCTTGACAACCTGCTTCGCCACTCGTATCAACTCTGCAGATGATCAGCTATTCAAGGTATTATTACTATTATCTTAAACTATGTCCTAACCTTTGTTTACGCTTTTTTACTCATCATCACTCTTATATTTCAATTTTTTTCTTTTTATGAAGGATATTATGGCATATGTGCATGCAAGCATGAAAATGGCTGGACCTGAAGGTGATCTCTGTCAATTTTTCCCTATTATGTCAGTATTGGATATACTTGTGGGGAAGAAACGGAAGTACAGTAATTTTATTGCTAAGGTCCGTGATCCTCTTTTCACCCGATTGATTGATGAAGCTGCTTCAAGTGACAAGGACTCGATGATCAAATCTTTTCTGGCTCTCAAGGAAGAATATGGTTTGGATGACAAGGATATCATTGTAACTATGTGTAAGATGGATATTCCACTTATCTTTCTTGATGATTCTAGGGTTCTCACTTTCTTTTCCTTTTTCTTTTTTTTTTTTTATATATAGCTGACCTTCTTGGTGCTGGAGCTGATACTGCTGCTGCCACGTTGTCATGGATGATCGTCATTTTATCCCATCATCATGATGTTCAAGAGAAAATACAAGCAGAACTCGATGCCTTTATCCGAAAACATAATCGTCTCTCTACTTTTGAAGAGCGAGATCAAATCCCTTACACCATTGCTGTACAAAAGGAATGCATCCGTTACAAGTCCATCGGCTTCTTTGGCTTTCCTCATATGGCAAGTAGAGATGGTATGCTTTGTAGTTACATTTACTGAACAAGAAATAACTGTATTACCTACTGATCTTATTTTATTTATAGTGGCGGTTCGTGATTATTTTATTCCCAAAGGTACTATATTGTTAGGCAATGTCAATGGCATGCATATGAATCCTAAGGTTTACTCCGATCCAGAAACATTCAAACCTGAACGCTTTTTGAATAACACTCGAACAATGTCATCTTCGGCAAATGGCAATATCAATCAACGTGATCATTTCGTATTTGGATGGGGAAGGTAAAAAAAAAAAAAAAAAAAAAAAAAAAAAAAAAAAAAAAAAAAAGAGAGAGAGGGAGAGAGAGAGAAACGTATATTTTAGACAATGATTGATGGTGATATGGAAACATTTCATACTCATTACTTACGTTTTGATTTTCTCTGTGTGCTCTTGCATTGATTGAACTCAGACGTCTTTGTCCTGGAATTCATTTGGTAAGAAGAACAAAAGACCTGATAGATGCAGAAAATTTAGTATGGAAAGGAAATAGGACGCTAATACCTGATATTATTTTATAGGCAGAAGTAGAAATGTTTCATATCTTTGTTCGAATTCTCGCAAACTCAACTATCGCAGCTCCTTTGAATGATGATGGCAAGGAAGTAGCTGTTGATATGGATATAACGGTGAATATCGGCCCTCTGATTTTGCCTCAACCTTATCAAGTTCGATTTATCCCCCGCACTGATTCCCCTTTAAAATAGATAGTTTATCATTCAAATTCAAATGAAATAAAGAATCCACTTCCTATTTGTATTTGTGTGTTACATTTTATTTTTTTGATATGCGTTCGCTTAATGATACTACTTTAAGAGTCATTGCATAAGAAATCAAGTGAAGGGTAATGGATGATGGGATGATGGGATGATGGATGACGAAGGATGACGATGATGGTGTCAATTTAATATTTGTCGTTGGAGGAAGAATTTGCCAGTTCAATTGTCCTATTATTGAAAAAAAAAAGTCCCATCAAAACTATGTAATAGAGTGGAGATCAAACGGTCTCCTTTCAGTTGAACAGACAAAGAATGACGCCAAATTGCCGTGAATGGAAAAACAAACAGAACACGACACTAAATCGTACGGAAATTGATCATGCATAGATCATCATCATCTTTCCAATCAATCATGCAAGTAACATCATCAGATGAATAAAATATCAACCAAAGCTACAAAAGAGGAATGACCGATAAATTTAAAGTTGGTGTGTAACCGTAATGACAACGGAATATTAGGTGAGAAATTACAGTACTTTGATCTTTCTTTCCTTCTTCCTTTTATTCTTTTTTTTTTTCCTCTTTCTTTCCACCTATTTTCTTTTATCCATCGCCCATCACGGTCGACACAAAATATGATTGATTTACAAAAATAACCAATACAATCTGCGACTGCAAGGTCTATCTGAAAAAAGACAAATCATCTTGCTGCCAGCCGCCGTTGTAGCAACTAGTCTTGGTGTACTTTAACTTGTCTTCTTCAAAGAAGGCTGTAGATACACGTAGTGGATACAGAGAAATACCTACTCCTGGATCGCAATGGGCCTGTTTTCGGTAGCGGGTTGACAACTCCAAAAAAAAAAAAACGAGTCTGTGCAACACGGAAATTGAAATTATGCTCCTTCGACTTCGACTTTTTTATAGGACATCTTCTTTCTCTTGGAAAACTTCCTGGAAATACCGCGGCAAAATGGAGCAAAGAACTTGGTAAATGACTTTATTAAGAGAAGACATTAATACTATTATCTTTTTTCTAAACTTTTATTCTTATCCATTAGGCTCTATTTTTCAATTAAAAATGGGTGTACAAACTTGGATCATGTTATCCGATCCTGTTCTTGCTCAAGAGATCTTCATGACTCATGGTATTGCGGCATCTGATCGACCTCCTCATACATTCCATACTTATTACAGTCTTGGTGGAAGGTAAGTACGTTTTAACAGTTATATGACTAATCTTTTGAAGCTACACCTTTGTTCTCACTTTTTTTTTTCTTATCTCTTATTAGAGGTGTTGCGTGCTCAAATGCTGATAAACGGTGGAAGCGAGCGAGAACTGCTGCTTATCTGTTCTAGCATCACAACGTGTTAATCAATTTACAGATGTCCTCTTGTATGAAGCCGATACCGTGGTGGAACGACTTCTCTCTCAAAGTCAACTTGATGGTCAGGTAGATCCTGCTCCCTATTTACAAAACGCTGCTATGAATTTTATTTTGACAACCTGTTTTGCAACTCGTATCGACTCTGTGGAGGATCAGCAATTTAAGGTATTATATCAGTTAAACTGACTTTTATGCTCGTAATCATTTGATCACTCTTTCATTTACCTCTTTTTTTTTTTTTTTTTTTTTTTTTTTCTTTGTCAAGGATATCATGTCATACATACATGCGGCAATGAAAATGGCTGGTGCTGAAGGGGATCTTGGTCAATTTGTGCCTATTGTATCTGCAATGGATGTACTTGTGGGCAAGAAACGAGAATACAATGATTTTATTACCAATGTACGTAATCCACTTTTTACTCGATTGATTGATGAAGCTACTTCAAGTGACAAAGACTCAATGGTCAAGACTTTCTTGGCTCTCAAAGAAGAACAAGGTTTGGATGACAGTGATATCCTTGTGATTTTATGTAAGCTGAACATGATATTTAGTTTATAACCTAGCCGAATGATCAATATATCCTCATTCTTTCTTTTTATTTATTTATTTGTTATTATTCACAGCTGATCTTCTTGGTGGTGGTACTGATACTAGCTCCGTTTCATTATCTTGGATGATCGTCATTTTATCCCATCATCATGATGTTCAAAAGAAAATACAAGCAGAACTCGATGCCTTTATTCAAACCCATGGACGCCTCCCTACCTTTGAAGAACGAGAACAAATCCCTTACACCATTGCTGTACAAAAGGAATGTCTGCGTTACAGATCCACCACTCCTTTTGGTGTACCCCACATATCTAATCATGACTGTACGGTTTGTAGTTTTACTTGTCTTGAATGATACACGGTGAATCTCACTTTTTTTTCTTTCCCTTTTATAGTGGTGGTTCGTGATTATTTTTTCCCCAAAGGCACTGTATTGGTGAGCAACATGATTGGCATGCATATGAATCCTGACGTCTACCCTGATCCAGAAACTTTCAAGCCTGAACGCTTTTTGAACAACACTCGAACAATGTCATCTTCGGCAAATGGCAATGTCAATCAACGTGACCTTTTCATCTTCGGCTGGGGAAGGTAAAAAAAAAAAAAAGATATAAGAAAGAAGGTTCAGTAAATAAGGCAATATACCATACTTACTATTCCTGTTTCCATTTTCTCTTTCTATTTATTGAATTTAGACGTATTTGCCCTGGTATTTATTTGGTAAGAAAGAAAAGTGCAACAGAAGAACCGATGAATGGAGGAAGTTAAGATACAAAAAGAAATAGAGCACTAACGTCTGATATTATTCTATAGGCAGAGGTAGAGATGTTCCATATCTTCGTTCGGATCTTCGCAAACGCAAGTATTGCACCTCCTTTGGATGGTGATGGTAAAGAAGTACCTATTGATATGGATGCTGCTTTGGATGCTGGTCTTGTGACTTTACCCCAACCTTATCAAGTTAGATTTATTCCTCGTGTTGATTCCCCTTTGAAATAGAGTCTTATTATTCAATTCATATATGAAATAAAAAATCGATCCTTTTTATTACCCTATATTACATATTATATTGTTAGTGCATTCTTCTGAACAATTAACTTATGAGTGGATTTTATTAATACGATCCAATCATTCATAATCATGCTCTTGATTTGAATCATTCAAACATCATCATCAATGAATCATCCACTTGTTGAAGGCAACATTGCATATGATATCATTTATCATCATGGAAAAAAAAATTCAGTGCACCTGTTTCCATATGTATCTGACATATATGTAGATATTTCATGATTTCTGTTATTTTATCAGTAATATCTGGCTATCTGCTCTACACTGAAATATATGACTGAAAAGCAGAAGACATTTCGTATCGTTATGCCTTGTATCATATTATCTTCAAATGATTAAACCTTATTGCCTCGTTTATGTCATATCTGGGAAATCTTAATCATGTTTTTGGAAATATCACGTTGTAATAGCTAATGAGGCTCGTTCCATCTTGCTCAACATTTTATCTTTCCAGTTCATCAAAAAAAAAAAAAAAGATATATCACTTCTGTAGATAGAATGAACGACGTTTTATTTATTAAGTGTGAAGGCTGGAGAATACATAGAATAAAAAAAAAAATACGCCCAATCAGTCAATATAAAAAGAATAAAGATAATAAAATAATAATAACAATAATAATTATAACAATAATAACAGTAATAGTAATAAATAGGGATGAGTATATATACAATCAAAATGAGAGTGAGAGGCATAATACAATGGAAAAAAAAATTAAAATGGATCTGGCCCAAGCGTTGTTGTTGTCGATTTATCTTTGTCAGTGGGTAGAGAAGGTTGAATAGTTTCTTTTGAAGATTTTTCCTCTTGTTGTTCCAAATGTCGTCGATTGTGTAATATCAGTTCGCGTTCTCGAATAATATCATTATCGTAAGGGCGATATTGATGTCCATAAATTTTGCACAAGTACGAGGAATAAAGCAGGTAACCACGGTCAATAAAAGTACAAGCCAATATAATCCCGTCCCATATAATTTGACCTGTCCACGGAAATTGAAGCTGATGAATTGTGAGTAAACAGCTGTAAACAGATAGTAGACTGCAATGGAGAGAGAGATGATCAAGAGTTGAATCCAAGTATAACTGTACAGAGAGAAAGCCACAAATAAGTTGGCAACAATCACCGCATAACTGGCAATGATGGTACCTATTTCATATGTGCCATTTTGATCATATCCAGATGGGTCAACAGCACCAGCTACAAGAAGCATGTAAGGGAAGAAGAAGCACACTGAAGATTGGAATATCGAATCTATCACATTCATCCAGAATCGAACGGTCTTAAATTTGTCGTCTCTCAATCCCATACGTATAATTCCGGATATAACAATGAAGTGGAAGCATTCAGATCCTGATCCCAAATGCCAAGGAATATAATCGGAAGTGAAGTGAAGATCAAGTTGTAGAGTGTCACCAAAGCATAATCAAACATCATTGTTCCAGTAAATCTATTTCAAAAAAAAAAAAAAAAAAAAAAAAGGTTACCTTCCATCCACCTTAAATAATATTATATATATATATATATATAGATAGATATATAAACTTACTGACAAAAGATTTGATACCAAAGTAAAACAAAAGTCCAAATGATATTTTTGAAGAAAAATCCCATGATCATTTCAGCCGTACGCAAGTAAGACCACCGGCCATGGACAAGAAGCAGTTTTTGAAGATACCGAAATTGAGCAATGGCATAATCAGAGGACATAACTGCTTGTCGACCTTCTACACCAGAGATACCACAACAACATTTGCTTCTTGAATCATCGAAACATCATTAGCTCCATCACCGATTGCTAATGTCATCACATCTAATCCACGTTTGACCAAAGTCACCACTTGAGCCTTTTGCTTAGGACTTACACGACAACAGATCACACTAGCGCATTGCATGCCGAGGCGTAGGAGATAATACTTGTTTTTGGGTTCCAAAGCATATTTGAGAGTCGTTCCGTCAATTACCAATGCTCGTTTGACGCTTTGTCCTTGTTGTACCCTTTGATGATGAGGACGTTGTTGATCATTCTCTTCTTCTTCTTCTTTTGTTGTGTTGTTGTTGTTGGTTATGTTGATATTTCCTTGGTTGAGAGGATCGACGACGAGCCTTTCTATCTTGACCAAAAGTTTGCAATCACCACTACTACCAGTACCACCAACATCATTGTCATTGTTTGTATCATCACCAATTTCTCTGTCGATTTGATCCAAGACTTCTTTCATACGTTCCAATGTTCCTTCGCGTGTACTTGACTTGACAATCAGGAGTTCCATATCGGTAGTGATCAAATTACATGCATATCCAATATTGATGGCTGTTTCTGTCTTGTCACCTGTAAGCACCCAAAGTTTGATTCCAGATTGAGCTAACAATGCAATAGTTTCAGGTACACCTTCTTGTAGTCGATCTTCAATCGCTGTTCCACCCATCAACAGTAGATCACTTTCAATTTCTTCACATACTTCATCAACCTTTTCATCACGACCATAGATACTTGAGCTGGCTGACATAAATCGTTTATTCCATTCCTCGTATTCATTTGCCGCGATAAATCGATAAGCTAAACAGAGAGTCCGTAATCCTTCAGTAGCAAATCCTTCCAAATGAGTTGATGTATCATCGCGTATATTTTGTTGCTTTGATTCAAGATCATGTTGAGTACCAAAATTGGTACATAATCGTTCGTAAATGACCGAGTCTGCACCTTTGGACAGTAACACAATCCTGTTGCTTCCATCCCTTGGTCGAATAATCACACTCATTCGTTTGCGTGTCGAATTGAATTCCAAAACGTTTAATAGGTCAAAAGTCTTGATTTCACCCATAATATTCACCGAGAGAAGATCAGCCTCCCTTCCAAGAAATGTAAACCCAATATCACGAGCTGTTGACACAAGTGCTGCTTCATCTGGACTTTGTGCTTTGTATTCAATGGTACTGCTGCTATCTTGATTCTTATCGGATCGTTCGGCAATGGCAGTGTGACAGAGTGCCAAAGTCGAGAAAAAATGAATGTGGAAGATCGATGATCGTTGTCCTTGCTAAGATCTTGGAATATCTTTGGATCAATAAATGTCGGATTGTTGCCAACATAGGGATTTTTGAAGAGTTTGGCCTGCAAATCGTACATTTTTTTTGTATTCCTCCATTTCTTCGACGGTTGTTGTTTTTTCCACTATTGATCCATTGATATCGTTTTCTTGATGTCCACTGTCTCGTTTATAAGAGCCATATGTTGCTTCAGTTTCGCCTAACCCATATTCGATACCACCAATAGTACATTTGCGATACTCCATCACATTCTGTGTCAATGTTCCCGTCTTGTCGGAAAAGACGTATTCGATCTGTCCCAAATCATCAGATATATTCCATGTACGAGGAAGGCAAGCTGTATCAGTTTGTTCATGGTACATATCAATATCAGCATGAATAAAATATGCTAGAAAT